GCGTTAGACTGCAGTGGCAAAAGTCCGTTCATTGGCACTCAGAATACTACCATAATAGGTAGTGGTAAATGTTCTAGCCATAAAAAATAAGCTTTTTTAAAATGCTATTGGAGCATAAGAAACAATATTTAGGAGACAGTTGTTGTCAGATTTCATTGGTGATTTCAAATATGAAATTTAATCGTAAGCTTGGCGAACAGTTTTGGAGAATTAGAAATTTCCCCATTCAAAGAGAGAGGAGCTGCACTTGTATGCCCGAGAGGCGTTTTAAAGATGGCCGCCAAGCGAAATAACTTGTCTTAAAGAGCAGGTCATATGGGTTTTCGAAAAATATCTCTTTTGCAGTTTGTAACATAGCTATCCTTCAATGTAAACAGTCTGCAAAGTTGTTAATCAAAAAAGTGCATGATAAATAAAGATATTGTCTCTCAAAAGAAAGAGTCGACTCAAAATCGCCTTAACAAGTCATTATATTTTTTAATCTTCTGCCTGTTACCGATCTACATCACTGGGTAACACATTTGCATAATCCCTGCCTGCCCGCAAAATACGAACACTCTGACCTGCCCACAAACACTTGTGCTAGTTAGTGTGTTTACATCATGTCAAAAAAAACGCTGTGTTCAACGATACCACAGTACAGCACTCGGCACAGCCACCATTTTTGTTTTGTTAACTGTTTGCAGTTAGCAGCTAAACTTTAGCTGTGGGCAAAATTCGCTTGCATTAGTGTTAAACAAAACGTTTTTATGTCATTATTTTAAGAACGGATTGGAGCACTATTGTTTTATGTAAAGGTGCATGCTAGGGTTGCCAGGTTGTCACAACAAAACCCACCCAATTGCTACTCAAAACTAGCCCAATCGCATTTCAAGGGGGGTCCCCCATTAAAATTCAAGCTCCGGGGTATACAATACACACTTTTTGTTGGGGTTCCCCTGGTAAATTTGCATTCCAGGGGCTAAATATGACGTTATTGGGGTCACTTCAACCCGCAACATCAAAAACAACCGCGGACTTGACAACACAGATGGTAGCGCTCGTTAAATTGCTCAAGTACTCCTTCCTCTCTGTGCCAATCACAACAGCTGACCAATCAGAGCAGAGTAGGCTTATGGAAGGGAGGGGTTTACAGACCTTACGCTCAGAACTGCTTCGAACGAATGGTTTTGAAATCATGGACAAATTACATGTATAAATGTATATTTAAGGTTTTCTGACCTTAGATGCATTTAAACCTGTTGTAGGGAACTCCAACACAATATTAGGACACTTTAAAAAACCATATGACCTGCTCTTTAAAGGGACTTCTGAAATCTGAGGGGGCGTGTGCGATTTCTACCTTTATAATTTCTAATTAGCCATTTAAAATTACTCCTATGTCTGCATATATAATTAAATTTATAACACTTTCCTAGATTGTGTGAAAATAATCGAGATTGATTCATGTGAATGAGGCTTGAATAGAGATGTGAAGGGCCTCAAATGGCCGGTTTGACTCATGACTCTAGAGGTCTGTGAGAAATTTGAAAGAAATCAGCCACTAGGTGGCGCTCTCCGGTTTTATGACACACACAGTGTTTCACACATACAAACACAATATTCATATAATTTGTTAGATTTCCTCATTCTGAACAACTTTGCCTCTAGAACCACTGCTGTCAGTCAAAGTATTTTTTGTTAAATATTTGACATTATTTAAAAAAAACTTACTTTAACTACTTCTTACTACTTTTTCGAACTCATCCTAGACGGTTTTCACCTAAATTGATACAGATGGTCCTAACAAAAAGTTATCAAAAGCTTTTTGATAGACCCAACCATTCTTGAATAACTAACTAATGAATTTTACGACGAGCTTGCCAAACTTGACATGCCAAACTGGACATTTTCAAGAACTGGCTAAAGGGACTTGTCATAGCACTTTCAAGCACGTTCTCTTTGGTCTTATGGCTTCTATGTTTCTTCTCATTTGTAAGTCACTTTGGATAAAAGCGTCTGCTAAATAAATAAATGTGATGTAAATGTAAATAAACAGTTAAGTCTAAAAGGATAACCACAAAAGCACATTTTCCTATGTTTTTAAAGTTGAGTACACAACCAATTCACAAAACTAAAACTAACTTTACCACACTAATGCAGTCGGTTTGGTATGAATGTGTGGATTACATTGTAAATACGAAATGATCTGAATTTTTTGTATTTGTCCTATTGCTTTTCATAATAAAATAAGATTTTGATCACATCACATGCCCCTAAGGCTGATAACACACAAATGGGTTGAACAGACACTCACAAACCATAAATGAATCTAGCGATCCACAAGCATCCACAATATATTTGTTTACTCACAGAACAGCATCAGTCAGTGTGATGGGGAGATTTAAGAGAAATCCACTAAATGCTATGAACTGTAAAATGTAAAATTGTATTACTATTTAATTGATTAAAACCAAAACAAAATGATCAAAGTATAAGAAATGTTTATTTCTTCAACAGGCAGAGAACAAGCATTATGGAACATCAGAAGTCAGTACAGATCAACACCTACAACAGGAAGTGTTGAATAAAAAAATTAATCTATTTCACAGACTTCATCTTAAAGGCAGACATCACAATAAACTGACAGCTGCAGATGTTCTTCAGTTAGCACATTCATTACAGTCCCATGAGTATTGTGCTGAAGAAGAGCTGATTCAGACTTTTATACAAAAACTACTGATGATGAACTACAGAGCAAGATACCTCAAAACTAAGGAGAATAATGAGGAAGTTCACAATGATCAAGCCAGCTATGATTCATTTAAACAAGGGGCTGATTCTGATGATTTATTTTTCAATTTAGGGTCAGTGTTTAATGAAGAAACAGGCCAATCTGAGAAAATCCACCCGATGGATGTTCAGATGGCCGTTTTTCATTGTGCTGATGGTTTCCTGAAGCAGCTGATGGTCACTAAACTGTCCCAGTGTCAGTACGCTCTGCCTCTGCTTGTTCCTGATCCATTCACACAACAGATTGAGTTTCCTCTCTGGACATTCAGACAAATCAACAAGAGCTGGAAGATGAGAAACACCAACAATGAAGCCATCAGTCAAACCGAGCCAATCTACAAGGCAGAAACTCCAATGGTGTTTTTCTTCAGGTTTGGCTCTGTGTCTTCATCCAAGTCTCAGCTGATGAACAGTCTGATCAATGAGAAACACAACACGTTCTTCCACAGGAACTGTCCAGGCAGCAGCAGAACCAGAGTCCTGATGGATGGAGTGGTGGAGAGTGCCTGGTTCTGCCCATCTGGATCATATGATGATAAATTCACTGAGTGTGTTGCGTTCTGTAATCTACACGGTGATGCAGGAGACCATGAGAAACAGCTGCAGATCCTCACTGAAATGGCCTCAGTCAATGTTGTCCTTCTACCACAACTTCAGAAGAATGACAGAAGCATGACAAAACTTGAAGAACTCTATAAGGGCTCAAAGCCACTCATTTGTCTTTTTACTGAGGATAAATCTGCTGTAACTTTGTTGAAGAAAAAATATAAGATTGGTCTGAAAGACAGAAATCAGTCAGAAGTATCTGGTGAACTCAGAAGAGCTATAAAAGATTGTCTCTCAGAATCATCTTTCACTTTCAGACTTGAAGACGTGTCGAAACACTCAGACATCAGAGTAGATGAGGAAGATGATGATGATTGCAGGAGAGGAAGAGAAGCAGCACAGCAGATGATGAGTTTACTGGAGAAGAAAGATCTGAGAGAAATCAAAGAATCGTTTCTGCCTCATCAGGGGAAACTGTGGCATCAGTGGAGTCAGAAGAACAAAGAACTACATCAAGCTCTAGGAAATGAGCTAGAAATGGACATAAGCAGAAAACAAAAAGAGATGAAGAATATCCGTGAAATGCAACATAAAACTGATATCAGTGAGTTTATAAAGTTCTTCATTAAAGAAATTACCTCAGATACTGGACATACAATGTTTTTCATTAAATGGCTCGGAATACTCCTGGATGAATATACATCTGCTGACTTGTTTGTTCTTCATCACAAATATTATGAAACATGGTCAACGGTTTTAAAACTGAAAGAGAAACATGAACCAGAAGAGCTGAAAGTTAAACAATCAGAACTTGAGAGAATATCTGAGGATCTTCAAGCTGCAGCCCTTGGTTTAGAGCACATCATAAGGGAGATCGGTCAGATCTATGAATCATGTTCATCTGTTAATGAGAACAAGAAAGACCTGCAGATTCACTTCTCTTCTCTCCCGAGTCTTGCAGCAGAGATGATGGTCTCTGGATTTCCACTGGAGCTGATGGATGGAGATGCTGCTCATGTTCCTGTGATCTGGATCTCTGCTGTTCTAGATGAACTCAAACAGAAACTGGGAGACCAGAGAGTCTTTGTGCTGTCAGTGTTAGGGATTCAGAGCTCTGGGAAATCCACCATGCTGAATGCCATGTTTGGACTCCAGTTTGCCGTCAGTGCTGGCAGGTGCACCAGAGGAGCTTTCATGCAGCTGATCAGAATCTCAGACGAGATGAAAACACAGATGAACTTTGACTTTATTCTGGTTGTTGATACTGAGGGTCTTCGTGCTCTAGAACTGGCTGGAAGATCAACAAGACATCATGACAATGAATTGGCCACATTTGGTTTTGGGAGCAGAGTGCAGATAAGATTATCTCAGACACGCCTCCAAACAATGACATTGACATAATGAGAGATGTGATCAAAATCCTCAGTCTCCCTGCTGACCACTTTAAAAAGGACAGTGAGTTCATCGACATTTTCTCTGTGTCGAGTTTTTCTACATATGTTTTCAAAAAGTCCACAACATGTTGTTTTAACAGGACTGTAATGTGTGCTTGCATAAGAGTTAAACAATTTTGTGGAAATGGTCGAACTCTGTCTCTAGAGAAAGAAGCTCAAATAAGATCATTAGTCACAGATGTTGACCAGCAGACAGACAAAATGATTCAGTCATTTAACATTTCAAAGATGGGCTACAACATCAGTGACATCCAACAACTCATATATTACATCAAGAAGAGAGTAACAGAACATCAGGAAGGACAAGTGAAATATGAGTTCAAGAAGGAATTCTTTATTGATTTGGTTCTTTCCATCTGTAAGAAATCAAACAAGATGATCACCGACCAACACATACATTTCAAGGAAGCAATATATGTTGAGAAGAGAGAAGAGTACTATAGTATTTTCCAGAATTACTGTCATGGAGCAACATCAGTTGCCATTTTTGGTGAGCTCATCTGTCAAAAACTGAAAGAGCCCATTGAGCAGAGTGTCTACAAGAAGACTGCCAGAGATCTGACGGATGAAATGAGATCAAACTGTGAATCACTGAATGGAAACAGATCAAATCTGGACAAACACATCCTGAAGGCACTGGCAGAAGAGGAGGATTTTGACAAATATATGAACTACATTCATAATCCCAGAGTCCACTTCAAGAGTTTCATCAGAGATGAAGTCAGTCGGTACATCACTGATAAGTTCAGTGTCAGTGTTTTACCCAAGATGAAGGAGAACATTAAACTCCTGCAGCAGAAGATCATGAAAGCAGCACATGTATCCACTGAACATGTTCAAGTCAACAGAGGAGATGCTGGTTTGTGGTTGAAGAGTTTCACACAACAGCTCTCAGATGAGCTGATCTTCTCTGAAAAAGACCTCAGTGGAGTCAAACATGATGATGTTGATGATTTCAACCTCCTAAAAGATGTGTTGAGAAACAAACTTCCTGCTATAATATCTGATATCAGCAGTAGATTTAACACAGAGACATTTCCAGTAAAGTTAGACTGTAAGGACAGACCAGATGAGCTTCTGACTGATCACTTCTGTCAGTGTTGTTGGGTTCAGTGTCCATTCTGTGGCGCCATCTGCACCAACACCATAGAAAACCATGATGGAGATCACAGTGTTCCTTTCCATCGTAGTATTGGTCTGAATGGAATATATACATCGAACTTGTCTACTCATATCTGCACATCAGCAGTAGCAAGCAGCAATCTATATTTTTATCCCAATGACTCAGATAATAAAGTTCTCTGGAGAGATTACAGAAGAGCAGGAGGAGTTTATGCAGACTGGAGCATCACCCCTGATCTCTCTGTACTGCCCTACTGGAAGTGGTTTGTGTGCAGATTCCAGAAAGATCTGGAAAAATACTACAAAAAATTTGAGGGTTATGTTGAGATACCAGATGAATGGAGAAAATACTCAAAACAGGAAGCTATTGAAAGTCTGAATAAATACCTTTAAAGGAAAAGGTAAAGAATGAGACTCTTACATCTATCAGACCACAGTTGGAAATGAGTTTCTTTGATATTCATCAGTAAGTCTCTGGAGTCATTTACACCTCAGAAGAGCAGAACTTCATAAAATACACTAGAGGAGGTTTAAAGACAAGATTCATTTCCTTATACAAGTATGTGTGAAATGATCTTATCTTCAAAACAACATGAATTAATGTATATGTTTCATGTTTGATATATTACAATTTATTAATATTTGCCTGCTTAATCTTTATGATCAACCAAAAACAAAGGATCTATAAAGTTAATGACTGTTAATTATATGATAGAAATTTAATAGAATTTAAATAGAAACAGAAATAGAAATAGAAATACAGATAACTGGATAGCAAATGTAGCAAGTTAAACAACCCATGTATAGGTCACAAAATAAGGACACAAATACAGAAAGACTTTTGTAAGAACTTTTATGCTGGTTGAAAAAAAATTTTTTTAGTTACAAATTACAAATAACATCCTGTAACAGAATATGCCATATATTGTATTTAAAAAATAGTAAACTTTTTGATGATTGAAAAAAAAAAAAAAGACGATTACCTTTCAAGGTGACAGTTAGAAACACTATTCACAAACACTGAGTAAGCCCTGTTCAGACTACACGATTTTAGCCCAATTTTGCCACGATCTGCTTGACGTAGGGTGTCGTGGGGATTCGTATACGACAATGGGTGTCGGGATGCACGATTCAATCGTTTCATCTCGTGTAGTGTGTCATAGTGCACGACGTCTCTGTGATGCTTTATGACATCAACACAGAAAGACTAGCATGTTTAATGTATTTTCTTTACATCGTACATGACAAGTTCCATCACAGCTATGACACTGGCCAATAGGAGCACAGAAGCGCCTTTGTACAAGCTTTCAAACATGCCGAAACGAAAGGGAGACAATGGTATTGGTCCTGCTAGGTGGAATTTTACAATGGAGGAAAATGTTCGTGGAGCTACAGCAACAATACTCCTGCATTTATGATGAGGGACTACCGCAACACAGTGAAAAAAGGTCAAATAAAAACAATTTTACCTCAGTTCTCTTTGACCCTGCTAGGTGTAATTTTACAATGGAGGAAAATGTTCGTGGAGCTACAGCAACAATACTCCTGCATTTATGATGAGGGACTACCGCAACACAGTGAAAAAAGGTCAAATAAAAACAATTTTACCTCAGTTCTCTTTGACAGTCAATACATACCATGCCATCCAGATTTGTGTCCATTTTTAGGTTTTCTTTCTTTTTTTGACTTTTCTGATGACAAGACAGGGCAAAACACGCTGTTTGCTAGCCATTGTTTGTTTACGCTCATAGCACCTTCTGTCTTGTCCCGCACTATCGATGACAGAACGCCGTTAATGACGGCAGCGATGAATGGTCAGGTAGCATCAGTAGTTATTACGATTCACGGAATGTCATTATTTTTGATTGA